CTTTCTAACCACTCTCTTTCGTTCTCCTTCTCCTGATCTTCTCCCTCTCCCTCCTTCCTCCTTCCCCCCCTGAACTATTCCTCATCTCCCTTTCGCTCTTTCCCCTTCCTTCCGCCCCTTGCCCAAATCCCTCACTTCTTTCTTCCTCTCTCTCCGAACTCTCTCTCTCTTCTCTCTCTCTCTTTTCCATTTTTCCCTCTTCCTCCCCTCCCCCTTTTTTCGCCCTCTCCCATTCCCTCTCCTCTCACTTCCGTACTCTCTCCTCCGCCTCTCTCCCTCCCCCCCCCTTTCCCTCTACCCCATCCCCCTCCCCCCGCACGACCCCTCCCCCCGTTTCCCCCTCTCCTCCCCTCTGCCCCTCTCCCTTCCCGCCCCTCTCCCTCCATCCCCTTGTCCCTCCCCTCCTGCCCCCCTCCCTCTCCCTCCCCCTCCCCTCTCCCTCTTCCGGCCCCTCCCCTCTCCCTCCCTCCGCCCCCCCCTCCCTCCCCCGCCCCTCTCCTCCCCCTCTGCCCCCTCCCTCCATAACCCCTCCCTCCGCCCCCCCACCCTCTGCCCCTCCCCCTCTCCCCCTCCCTCCTCCCATAACCCTCCCTCCCTCGCCCTCCCCCTCCCCGCCCCTCCCCTCCATAACCCCCTTCCCCCCCCACCCTCCGCCCCTCCCCACTCCCCCCTCCGCCCCTCCCCCTCTCCGCCCGCCTCCGCCGACTCTCTTTCATCAATCAGCATTCTTTGAACTCGCGGCCTGATGATTATTTCACAGCAGACTGCCTGATCGCCTTTTTACGTGCTCCTTCCGACCGACGGATCTTATTACTACAGGCTTGGGCAGGTTCTAAGGCGCCCGGGCTTTTTGTTGCTGTTAATTTAACGCTTTAGTTGTGATCATCGTGATTACGGGTGAGTGGAAGAGGGAGAGGGAAAGAAGGAGAGAGATGAGAGGGGAGACAGGTGAATAGATAGATATAGATAGATGGAAAGGGATGGAAGGAGGAAGGGAGAGAAAGAGAGAGAGAGAGATTACAGATGAGAGAGGATAAGAGGGAGGAGGGCAGAAAGAGAGATAGAGATTAGATAAATAAACAGACATATATATATATATATATATATATATATTATATATTATATATATATATATAGTATATATATATATATATATATATATATATATATTATATATGTATATATAGATAGAGAGAGAGAGAGAGAGAGAGAGAGAGAGAGAGAGAGAGAGAGAGAGAGAGAGAGAGAGAGAGAGGAGAGAGAGAGAGAGAGAGAGAGAGAGAGAGAGAGAGGAGAGAGAGAGGAGAGAGAGAGAGGAGAGAGAGAGAGAGAGAGGAGAGAGAGAGAGAGAGAGAGAGAGAGAGAGAGAGAGACAGAGACAGAGAGTCAGGCAGACAGAGACAGAATGACAGACAATCAGACAGAAAGAGAGACACACACAGATCGAATAACTGAGCAAAAGGAAAGCGAGAGCAACCAAGAGAAAAGGCGGAGGAGGCGAAGACGGCCACAAAGAGCCGAGGAGCCGACCCCGAGAGCGGTGAGGACGCGAGCGTAGTGGAGGGCCGTTCGCTTCTCATCTGGAGTCGGGGCGAAGCGTCCCATCTCATGACTGATTTTAAATTGGCTCGCTTGATGGCCGTCGGAGTGCTGCTCGCTCGCTGCTCGCCCCTTCCTGCTCTTGCTCGCTTGCTGGTCATGCGAGGTCACCTGTCTGTCTGTCTGTCTGTCTCGGTTTGTTTCTCTGCCTCTCTCCTTCTCTCCTCTCTGCCTTCTGTCTGTTTCTTTCTCTCCCTCTCTCCTTCTTTCTGTTTCTTGCTCTTCTCTCTGTGTGTGTGTCGGTCTGTATTTCTCTCTCTCTTGTCCTTCTCTTCTTCTTTCTTCTTCTCTCTCTCTCTCTCTCTCTCTCTCTCTCTCTCTCTCTCTCTCTCTCTCTCTCTCTCTCTCTCTCTCTCTCTCTCTCTCTCTCTCTCTCTCTCTCTCTCTCTCTCTCTCTCACTTATTTCATTTTCCTATTCTCATCACTTTTCAACCTTCTATCACGAGCACCTATTTTTAACCCTCTATCCTTTGCCTCCTCCTTTTACCCTTGGCCCTCCTCCCCTCTCTTGCCTTCCTCGCCATTTTCTTTCACCCCTCCATCATCCTCGGCCTGCTTTATTCCTCCGTCCCTTTGCCCCTTCCTTTATTCCCGTCGCCGCCTCCTCCCCGTCTTCCTCTCCTCCCCGTCTTCCTCTCCTCCTCGGCGCCTCCTTATCCCTCCGCCTCCCTCCGCCCTTCCATTATCCTTTCATCACCTTCTTATCCCCTCAGCCTCCGCCAAGTGCATTATCCTGCATCCTATTCAGCGCCGCTCCTCCTGCCCCGCTTTGTCCCGCGGTTCCTTTTGCACACGCACACGCACCCCCTCCTCCTGCCTCGCCTCCCTCCGCTCCTTGTCCTCCCCTCCCTTCCTCTCCCACTCCCTCGCTCCCACGTGTCTTCGAGTTTCCTTTCTCCCTCCCCGTCCCCCTCTCTGCCGCCTCCCCGCCTTCCTCTTCCGCCTCCTTCCCTCTTCACCCTCCCTTTTCCGCCTTGCCATCCCCTCCCCACTCTTCCCCTCCCTCTACCCTTCCCCGCGCCTCCCCTCCCCTCCACCCTTCTCCCCCGCCTCAACCTCTCCTCAACCCCTCTCCCGTGCCTCCCCCGTCTCTCCCCATTCCCCCTCACCCCCTAACCCTTCCCCGCCCACTAAATCTCCGCGTCCTTCGTCCCGCAGGATATCCAAGCACCGGTCTGGATAAGTGGTACCCCTTGGAGGGCCGCTCCCTGCGATCCAACATCCAGGGCCAAATCCACCTCAAGATGTGGCTCTCCACGAGGGAGGACAGGTAAGTGGAGGGGGGAAGGGAGAGGGGAGGAGGGGAGGGAGAGAGAGGGAGGGGCGAAGGGGAGGGGTAAATGGATAGGGGACGGGGAAGGGAGGGGACAGGAGAGGAGAGGAGAAAGGCAGGGGAAGGGAGGGAGGGCAAGGGGAGGAGAGAGAAGGGGAGGGTAAATGGATAGGGGAGGGGAGGGGGACAGGAGGGGACAGGAGGCGGGAGAGCCAAGGGACGAGGGGAAAGAGAGGGGCGGAGATAGGGAAGAAGGGGAGGGAAGGGATAGAAAGAGAAGACGAATGGAGGAAGAAAGAGGAAAACGGAGAGGGGAGAGCGAAGGGGTATGCTTAGAGGAAAGGAAGGGGAGGGAAAAGGAGGAGAGGGAGAGGAAGAAGAACGTGGAGCGAATAAGGAAGAAGAAAGGAGACAGAGGGAAGAGAAGAGAAGGGGAAATGGAAGGGGCAGGAGGGAAAAGAGGAGAATTGAACGGGAGAAAAGGATCAAAGTAGGTAAGATAGATAGACAAATAAATGGATAAAGATAATAAAAATACAAATCAAAATTAAAAAAAACAAAAAAACAGAATCACATGAAATAAGAAAAAAAATCCAACGATCATGAAAAAATCTGAAATATGGAAAATGAATTCGTGACACTGACGACGATCTCCCCCCAGGATGAAAATAATGATGAAAAGAATTCTTGAAATGGTCCAACCAAGACGTATAAATCAAAGAAAAATTTTTGGAATCTCTTTCTCCTTCGTGCGAGAGAATAACCCACAAGGAGATCGATATTGGTAAAGGAAAACGGAAAGAAAACAGATGATAATAATGGCAGAAGTGATAAGGGGGAAGCGATATAAACAAAAGGAATATTGCGATTCTATTACTAATGCCTGTTTTCCTCTAGTTTTTATGATTTTTATCAGAAACAAAAATTATGTTGAAAATGATAAAAAAGGTAATGATATAATGATGTCGACAACGATAATAATAATAATAATAACAATGATGATACTAATAATGACAATAGCAATAATAGTAATGATAACAATGATGATGATGATGATGACGATGATGATTATGATGATAATGATCATAATAATAATAATAATGATATTAATGATGATAATGCTAATAGTGATAATGATAACGAGTATAACAGTGATAATGATGATAATAATGATAATAAAAATAATGATAATACTAACAATCATGATAATTAGTATCATTAATGATAATGATATTAATAATGATAAATGTGATAATATTTAATGATAATAATAATGGTAAATGATAATAATATCACAATATTGATAATGATAATATGATGATGATGATGATGATGATGATCTAATACAATAACAATGATAATAATAATAACATCGTTATCGTTATTAAAATTACCAATATCATTATTATCATGATGTGGTAATGATGATGACGATTATTGTAATCATCATTATTATTATCATTATTCTCATCTTCTTTATCATTTTTATCATTACTATTGACATTATCATCATCATTATCATTCTTTAATTACTATTATCATTATCATTACTGTCATTGTTATTGTCATTATTATCATTACCTTAATTATTGCTATTATTGTTATCATTAGTATTACTATTATCCTTTATTTGTTATCCTTATTATCCTCATTATCATAGTTATTTATGCTGCTGATAATAATGATAAGGCAGAATAACAGATAAAGAAAGAAATATCAAAGAAGAGAGGACGAGAGAGAGAGAGAGAGAGAGAAGAGAGAGAGAAGAGAGAGAGAGAGAGAGAGAGAGAGAGAGAGAGAGAGAGAGAGAGGAGAGAAGAAGACCTGGAGCAGAAATAAAGACAGAAGCCATCTCTGGAGAGGGGGATGCGAGGGGAGGGGGGGGAGAGAGCGAGGGGATGGGGAGGGGGAGGAGGGAGAGGAGAGAGCGAGGGAGAGGTGGAGGGAGGGGAGGGAGAGAAGAGGAGTGCGAGGGAGAGGCGGATGGAGGGGAGTGGGGAGGGGTGAGAGCGAGGGAGAGGTGGTGGGGGTGGGGAGGAGGGGAGGGGGAAAGGATTGGCCAGGAAGGGGAGGGGTCGTTGGGGGAGGAGCGAGGGCGGGCCAGGTCACCTCGGGAGACAAATCTGC